GTATAGTACAATATCAAAACCAAGACATTGGCATTGACGCACTTCACCAATCTTACTCAGATTTCCCCTTTCAGGTTTTACTTGTGCATGTGTATGTCTTTGGTTCTATGAAATTTTATCACATAAGCAGGGCCCGGTATCCACCACACAGACCAGGTAAAAAACAACTCTGTTAGCAAAGAGATTCCACTCATTGTCCTTTCATACCCCTCCTCCCCTGCCCTCTCTCTTCCCCCCAATCCGCGACACCCTTAATCTGTTCTCCATTTCTTCAGTTTTGTCATTTCAGACATGTTATATATAGAAATTAACCCGTATGTAACCTTTCAGATTAGCTTTTTTCACTCAGCATAATTCCTTGGAGGTTTATCCCATCTATTGCATGTTTTAACCATGTATTTTTTATGGCCAAATAGTATTCCACAAGTAACTTAAAAATAACTTTAGGGTTATTTCCAGAAGTGAGTGCTGGTCTAAGAGGGAGAACAGTTTGCTACAGATTGCACGGTCCTTCTCCAGAAAGCCCGGCCAGGCCCACAGTCCTGCAGGTGACCTGAAAGTAGGCCTGTGGGTTAGTTTCCTGGGGCTGTGGAAACAAAGCAAGCACGCACGCCATACCATGCACACACACACACCACACATGCATGGAGCAGCTTAAAGGACAGGAACGAATTGTCTCACATCTCTGGAGGCTGGGACTGTGAGATCAGGGTGTGGGCAGGTCGGTTCCTTCCGGGGGTGAGGAAGTCTGTGTTGCACTGTCCAAGCTGCTGGTGCCTCCCTGGGATCAGTGGCTTCGCTTGGCCTGTGCAGAAGCTTAATCCCCGACCGTGCCTTCATCTCCGCATGGTGTTCTCCCCGTGTGCGTGTCTCTGTCCCAATTTCCCCTTTTCATAAGGACACCAGTCACGCTGGATTAGGGCTCACTCTGATGGCCTCATCTTGACCAACGACATCTGCAACAACCCTACTTCCAAATAAGGTCCCATTCGGTGGTACTAGGGGTTAGGATTGGACGTACTGGGTTGTGGGGAGTGAGTGGAAGGAACATTACTAAGAGGAAGCTTCAGGGGTAAGGGGAATTCTGGCTGAAGGCAGGCCAGGGCGCTCAGACTTCACCTGAGAGTGGTGAAGGATGGGGAAGCCGACCGGATATCGAGGGCGGTCAGATAAGGAGCAAGTGGGATGCTGGCTCAACGGACTTAGCGGGATTCTTGCTAAAGTTGGACAAACATGCAAGTCCAAAAGTCAAGGTCTAGTTGTAAGAGTTCAGAGCAGTTTAACCAAAGAGAGGCTCTTCGGCACCCCGTGTATTTGGGGACCGTCTTCCTCCTTCAGAACCCAGCTGCACAGCCCTCTGCTCTTCTTCCCCTTCCAACATCTGCTTCCTGGGCCTTTTGTCCCTCCTTCCTCTCAGGTGCTGGGGACGTTGAACCGGAAGGTCAGCCAGTGCGTGGGCCTCCACACTAGGTTTCTCAAAACCCCAGGCTTCCACTGAGTTGTCTCGCGGTCTTAAATATATATACATTTTAATTATTTGAAAATATAAGAAAAACACTAGAAGCATCCACTTCTAACGAACTGGAACCCGCCCATTCATGTGCCATCTCTGGGTTAACTCATTTTAGTGTACGCTCAGACGGCATATCTCTGCGTACTTGAACTTCTCGTAAAATAGGTCATCAATTCAGAAGGTCGTAGCTCAGAGACTAGCGTTTTAAAAATTAGTCTCGGGCATGTCCACTCCCATAAAATTACCCAAGTGAGCCCAGGACACCCCTCCACAGCTCTGAGTTTGGGGATGTACTTGACATTGTGCCACCACAACAGACACAGAAATTAACAGGACAGAAGCAGATTGAAAAACAGCAATTATCATCTCTCAGCATCATTTCAACATTCTGTGCTCCTTAAGGTAGCTTGGACTTTTAAAATAAGAGTATACAGAACTTCCAGCCAAGATGGAGGCGTAGGTAGACACACTGTGCCTCCTCACACAACCAAGAGAAGGACAACAACAAATAAAGGACAAAAAAATGATGAGAACTGACAGAAAATCGAACTGCATGGACAACAAAGGAGTTGAAGAAACATTCACCCAGACCGGTAGGAGGGACGGAGATGGGCAGCAGGGTGGAGAGGACTCACGGCAAGGCGGCAGCTGGAAGACCCGGGGGTCCCACATTCATGTGCAGATAAACTGAGAGGAACAACTGGGGAGCAAGACGGACCAAGCAACCCAGGGCTCCAGCTCGGGGAAATAAAGCCTCAAACTTCTGATTGAAAACACCTGTGGGGGTTGAGGCGGCAGCAGGAGAAACTCCCAGCCTCACAGGAGAGTTCATTGGAGGGATCACAGGGTCCTAGAACATACACAAACCCACCCACTGGGAATCAGCACCAGAAGGGCCCACTTGGCTTGTGGGAAGCGGGAGAAGTGACTGAAATCCGGCAGAGAGCTGAGCAAGCAGTATTGTCTGTTCTTGGACCCCAGCCCCATATACAGCATCATAACGCAGCCACCTGGGTTGCCCCGCCCTGGCAAACACCTAAGGCTCTGCCCCTTACTACATAACAGGTGCGCCGAGACAAAAAATATTGGCCCAAATGAAAGAACAGATCAGAGCTCCAGAATAAACACAACTAAACAATGAATAGGTAGACAACCTAACAGGTGCACAGTTCAAAACACTGGAAATCAGGGTGCTCACAGAATTAGTTGAGTATGGTCACAAAATAGAGGAAGCAGTGAAGGCTATGAAAATTGCAGGGAACCAACAGTGAAGGGAAGGAAACCAGGACTCAAATGAGTGGTTTGGAGCAGAAGGAAGAAATAAACACTCAGCTGGAACAGAATGAAGAAACAAGAATTTAAAAAAATGAGGAGAGGCTTAGAAACCTCCAGGAGAGGGGTGGGTGCCAGAAGGAGAAGAGGAACAGCAAGAAATGAAAAACTTATTTGAAAAAATAATGAAGGAAAACTTCCCCAATCTGGCAAAGGAAATAGACTTCCAGGAAATCCAGGAAGCTCAGAGAGTCCCAAAGAGATGCAAGGAAGCACACACCAAGGCACATCATTATTATATTACCCAACAGTGAAGATAAGGACAGAATCTTAAAAGCAGCAAGAAAAAAAAATACCTACAAAGGAGTCCCCATTAGACTATTAGCTGATTTCTCAAAAGAAACCTTACAGTCAAGAAGGGGCTAGAAAGAAGTATTCCAAGCCATGAAAGACAAGGACCTACATCCAAGATGACTCTATCCAGCAAAGCTTTCATTTGGAATGGAAGGGGAGATAAAGTGCTTCCCAGATAAGGTCAAGTTGAAGAAGTTCATCATCACCCAGCCCTTAGTATGTGAAATGTTAAAGTGACTTATTGAAGAAAAAGAAGATAAAAGAACAGGAGCAGAATCATAGCAATGGAGATCACATGGAGGGTTAGCAGTGGGGGTAGGGGTAGGGGGAGAAAGGAGGAAAAGATACAGAGAAGTAGCAGCATAAATGGTAGATAGAAAATCAGGGGAGGTTAAGAATAGTATGGGAAATGTAGAAACCAAAGAACTTATATGTACGACCCATGGACATGAACTAAAGGGGCAGAGGGAATGCAAGTGGGAGGGGGTATGCAGGGTGGAGGGGAATAAAGAGGGGGAAATGGGACAACTGTAATAGCATAATCAATAAAATATATCTAAAAATAAGAGTATATGGATATCACATCCATCCATTGTCCAGTATATATAATACATCCATACTCAATGGAATGCTATGTAGCTGTTAAGATAAATGAGACTTTAGGAAACAATGGGCAAGACATATTAAGCAAAAAAGGCAAAGTGGCGAACCTTTTCCATTCACAAGGAAGAGGATATCTATATACACACATACATACATATGAGTGTACTTACACAGGCATGGGATTTTTCTAGAAGGATGTACTTTACAGAGGCTTCCTTTGAGGAAAGGGGTTGAAGGTCTGGTGTAGAAGATTCACTTAGTATTATTAGCTTTTTGTATTGTTTAAATACATCGCTATGCATAGACAGCATTACCTTTTTAACTAAAATGTTTTTAAAATTATACTTTAAAAACACCTTTACCAGTTTTATATCTTAGTGCTCTGCTTTAAAATTTTGTGTTAAAATAGAAAGACCGTGTTGCCACAAGGGTTTGACCAATAACGAGGTAGCCGAAGTGCCTCACGTTACCAGGGCATCCGAGGCCAGAGAGCAGCTCTTTTCCTCCTCGGACTTGGTCTGGGAGAAAAGGCGCCCAGCCCTGGGTTTCTCACTCAGAGGACAGAAGGCGGTGCTTTCGTGGGGGAGATAATGCTCATGGTGGAGTTCAGAGCACCTAGGGGTGGAGATGTGTTTTGGGACTGCCCATCTGCAGGATAGCAAATCCTAAAACGCTACCCAGTCACCTCCGCGCGGGCTCACCTGGAGACCGTCACCCCAGCCCTCCACTTTCTTAGGACCACAGCTGGCCTCCCTCATCTGGGGTGGGACCCTGTACTAAAGAATATTCTAGTCAATTGTACCTCAGTAAAGCTGAAATGTGTTTAAAAGTTAAGTAAGTAAGCCCTGGCCATGTGGCTTGGTTGGTTAGAGCATTGTCCTGTGCACCAAAAGTTTGCGGATTTGATTCCCTGTCAAAGCACATAATCTAGGTTGAAGGTTCAGTCCTGGTGAGAGTGCAAATGGGAGGCGACCAATGGACGTTTCTCTCTCCTCGCCTCTCCACCCCCCCCCCCGCTTCCTCTCTAAGTATATCCTCAGGTGAGGATTAAAGAAATAATAGCAAATAAAAAGATTTCTTAACACAGAAAATTCCAGGTGGATGGATGTTCATATTATCTACCGTATACATATAATCATGAAACCTATCGCTGGCTCAGGAGGGCTAATTTTTAGGTGATTCTTTTAAAAAGCAAACATAAAAGCTAAGCATAAAAGCAATCAAGGGTAATAAGAAGAACCAAAAAAAAAAAAAGACCTTTCTTGGTAACATAGGACATTTATTGTGGTTACAGAATTAGTATTTTAACACTGATTTGTGATATAACAGACGTTAAACCTATTTTAAAAAATTTTTAATACCTTCCCATTCTCTGTCCAGAAAATTCACACTTTCACAATCAAATTACCCTAAAAGCTGACAGGAGGTAAGTTATGCTTCCAACCAATCCATTCTCACAACCGGAGACGGCCTGTTTCCAATCAGGATAAAATCTTGACTTGGAAGGACCATCCTTGTAGGCTCTTTTGTGGTACTTGACACTGTTTTTATGACAGAAAATTTCCTGTGAGTAAAGCTTATATCTTGATTATGAGTGCTTATTTTGATTAAAACATTAGCATCTTAACATTAACTTGTGACGCAAAAGGCACCAACATTCATTTCCCAATCATCCATCACCCCCAGGGAACACAGCGCCACCTGCGGGCAATTGTGTAGTTACATCCCCTCTGATTTCCAGGTGGTGGTCGGTGACAAGAGGAGACTCCGAGGACCCTACAGTGTCAGGGCCAAAGGGACTTCAGAGGCCCTGTTTGGTACATGGTGAATTCTGCTCCCTGGATAACTCGGAGGGCAGGGGGACAGACCAGCCCGTGGTGTGTGCACTGCTTTACAATAGAGAAGAATCGCTTGGCGCTCTAATTTGGGGAGGGGGTCTGCTAGTCAAGGAAAGGAACCAACCAGGTCACGGGAGGGAGTGAGGGCACCCTGAGTTCCTATTTCATCACTTCCCAGGGGCAAAAAGCTGTCCGGAAACAGCTTCCACTCAGCGCTGGGCGTGTGTTGACCCTTACACAATAGAATTCATTTCCTCAAAGGACGGGAGGCTAATCTCGTAAGTATGGGGTTTCTGAGAATACAGACTACGGAGAAATCCCAAGTCGTTGGCATAAAAGTTGTCCCAAAGTGAAAGCAGTAATTCTCCCACTTACCTCTTCTCCCTCATACCCCCCACAACCAGGCCTTCCAGCAGAGCTCCCAAATAGCTGTGGCGATCCTGTGGGGTGACCCCTGCCTGGGTGTGGGAGGGGAGCCCCAGACCCACATTCTGAGCCTCTTCCAGAAGTACAGCCGAAAGCTGAGACCTGGGGATGCTACACGTTTCCTGGGAGAAGAGCCACTTGTCTGACCCAATCATTTACTTCCTCTTCCTGTGCCAGCTCCATCCCGCCCTCATCCAGATCTTCCCTTGGCACCACAGCTCGAATCATTGTCCTCTGTCCACAAAGCTAAGTGGCCCTTGTGCACACGGGCTGGGTCAAGGGCAGGTGCAGTGCACCTGGTCACTCCCAGGAGGCTCACTTCTTGAGGAGAAGTGTGGTATGAGAGAAAGAATTCCACTTCAGGGAGCAACAAATCTGAAATAGTGCCCCAACTCTGCCGTGAGCTGGGCCATGCCCTTAGTCACCCTGAACCCACCCAGCTCCTTTTTTTTTTTTTTTAAGGGAACAGGACATGAATCTCTACCAATGAGGGTCACCGCCAGGATCAAGTCAGACTGAGTGGGGGGCAACCTGAAAACTGTGAGGTACAGTGTAGAGAATGGCCATCTCACTCAGGTGGCTCTCTCTGGGCAGCCGGTATCTGAAAAAGAAGACAGATCCGGATGCGTGCAGGGCTGTGTTTGGGGTCACAGAGGACGGGGGGGCCAGCTGGGCCACACGGCGCTGCTCCCACTGAGACGCTGTCGCGCCTGTGAGTCCAGAGGCACACCTGCTCCTCCTGGTCCCGGCCACAGCTCCCGCTCAGCTGAAAAAGGCACAGTCCGTGCTTCCACGTGTTAATACTGGCTGAGTTTAAACTTCAAACAATTTTAAATATTTAACAAAAGTCCCTGATATTTCACTTCAGGTAAGACTCCTTTGCAAAAATCCTTGCAAGGGATCCTACCACAAACTGGGGATTCTGGGAGCTTGACACACCCACCAGAACAACGCCCTACATATATTTGGTGCTTCCAAAAAAAAAAAGTTTAATTCCACAAACTTTTATCAGACACCTATGTGCTAGGCCTTGGGGGACATGGCAGAGGACCACCCTTCTGCCACGAGGGAACCTGAAGATGACAGAATTGTATCGCTTTCCATGACGACAATCATGCAAAGCCCTAACAAGACTGTGTTGAGAATAAAATTCTACATTCTGACAAATGTGCGCACACATGTTATCCTAAAAAAGTCACTTCTTTTTGTTTGTTTGTTTGCTTGTTTGCTCTCCCACCAATAAGGATTCCATTTGGATGTGTTTCATTTCGGCCCAGCTGAGTCATTTCTCAGACCCTGGTGTCCAGGGTCTTTCCTGGCACCAGAGAGCCGTAAGAAAGGCCTGTGAGTGGGCCGGCAGGGAGCCAGGGACCGTTCATCTCCCTGCTCCCCTGTGCCCTGGCTGTGTTTCTGAGACACCCCCCCCCCGACACACACACCCCCACGTACACGCTGTAATTGGCCAACTTCCTCCTCCTGGTCTGGGAATAGCAACTGAGACAAAAAGCAGCTGGCACGAGCAGCCTGGGCTCGCCAACACTATAATTCAGGACAAAACCCTTGTAATTCTCCAAATGGCGGGGCTTTAAATAGGCTGGACTTTAACACCCTGTTTTCTAAAAAAGACAAACACACCATGCCCAAGGCACCACTCTCTGGACAAGCCAAGTGACCAGAGCGGTCCAGGGACACGTTCCAGTGGACTCGGGACACAAGCCTTCCAAGGCTTGAGAAACTTCTGGTGCAGGAGAGACCCCCGGGGGAGTCCGTTTGCCTCCCTGAGGGCCTGGTTGTTTAGGTGTCTTTAATCCTAAAGAAATAATTAAAATGTGGTCTCTCCATGGGCATTTCCACCCACTAACAACTGATGGCTGTCCCACGCCAGCCGCAGACCTCAGGATGTCTCTGCCTATGAGCAGAGTGTGGGTGGCTGTGAGGAGACGGGGGACAGACATGGCGGGAGAGAGGGGCTCAAGTTTGCATAGTTCCTTTACAAGGCTTCGGGTGCTGCGGTCCCCACTCAGGAGAGGACCAGGAGCAGGGTGGGAGTGGGGCGATCAGGAGGGCCCCTGTGAGCATCTCAGGCCTCCCGCTCCCGCGGACCTACTGCCCTGGGCCCCCCGGAAGCAGACATGTTCCACATCTCCCTCTGCAGCCCCGCCCCAGTGGGGGACGTCATAAACCACAGGCATGGGACACACCAGGGAACAAAAACGTCCTCCATAGCAAGCTTCTTTATATGCTCCCTGCAGGGTAAAGAGGCCCAGGGCCATGTTGGTTGGGGCAGATTTGTGGGTGAGTGCCTGGTGATGCTGGGAGCAGGGGACATTGTGTTTCCTAAACATGGCAGTTTGGGACGCCTCAACCAGGGCCCCCCCTGTCCAACCTCTCCAGAGGAGGCAGTGGGGGTACCTAGAGTTTCAATTTCCCCTCCTTGACTAGTCTGTCATTGAGCTGGCACAGCTGAGCCAGGAAACCGTCGTTGGGGCCAATCTCACGGTTCTGCCTCACGATGCTCAGGGCAGACTTGACGTCCATCTTCTGCCGCATCATGAGGTACGCGATAACTAGAGTTGGGGAGCGGCTGTAACCTTCACGGCAGTGGACAAGCACACGGCCTGTAAGAAACGGGGTGACACGGTGAGCTGGAGCCTCCCATCGCACCGTGACTCTAGTCGAAACTCGCCCGGCAGATGCAAAGGACAAGCAACACGCAAGGCCACCCTGTACCCACCAGAATGGCTGAAATGAGGAAGGCAGAACGTGCAAAGCTCTAGCGAGGGTTTGGAGCAGCCAGGACTTGGACGCGTGGCCAGGGAGGGGCTGCGAGTTGGCAACCCCTTCGGGCAACTGTGAAGCAGCCTCTACTCAAGCTAAACCCACGCAGCCAATGTGGCCCGCAATGCCACCCCAGACCCACACCCCACGGGAATGTGCACCCACGCTCTCGGAAAGACATGCATCAGAATGTCCCTGGGCAGCGCCATTCATAACGGCCCCGGTGTGGACGCTCCAGGGGCCCCTTGACGGCAGAACGGTGCATGACAAGGATGTACAGTCTACGAGTTATCGGCAGCAACATGGATGAAACACCCAGTAGGAAGCACATGATCCCACAGAGTAGGAGAGTAGGCACGCCGTGTCTGTGATGTCAGGAATGTGGAGAGGGATCAAGAGCTGGGAGCAGAGGGATTTGAGGCTGGGCTTTCTGGGGCGCCGGTCATGTTTTATTTCTCAATCGGGGGCTAGTACATGGGTGTGTGTGGTGCACTGACTCACACTCTTGTGACACGGCCACTTCTCCGTTTGAATCTTGTGTTTCAACCCAAAGCAAAACATGGAAACAACCCAAATGTCATCAACAGGGGAATGGATACATAAATTGCGGCACGTCCAGATGACTAAATACTACTCGGCATCAAAAAGGTTGAATGATTGATACTTGCAACAATATGGATAACACAAAGTAACTGTGCTGAGTGAAGAAGGCCAGGCCAAAAAGGTGTGTGCACCGTGCAGTCCCAGTTACTAAAGCTGCACTGGTGTCTGGTGACAGAGAGCAGAGCGGTGGCGGCTTAGGAATGGGAGGCCGAGAGGGCAGGAGGGAGAGAGGTCACAAAGGGACACAGGACCATCTGGGGAGTGACGGACATGCTCACTAGCTTGGTGATGGCTGTGATTTCACAAGTGTCTGCAGGTGTCAAAACTTGGCAGGTTGTACTATGTGTGGTTTATTAAATGTCAGTTATATATCAACGAAGCAGTTAAAAATAAAAGGAACATAAGTGTCAAATACAAAAACAAACCAAGACAAAAAAATCAAACACACAAACAAAAACACCATCTCGTGGCTTCCCCAAAGGGCCCAGGAGGCCCTGCAGCATGCGGCTCCCATCTGACGTCATCCCCGCCTCTCCCTCCTCTGCTCCCAGCATTCTACCCCCAAACACGGCCCATTTTCCCGGTGCCTCCCAAAGCAGGCAGGGGAAGTCCTCCACGTTCCTGCCCACTCGATCTCTGGTCAGTGTACCCGTACTCAGTGGGGCCTTCCCTGCCCCTGCCCTGGCCACGGGGCCCTCTGCAGAGCAGCTGCCTCACCACACTCAGCAAACCCAGGGCTCACAGGGCCAGTGGGGAAGGGAAGGGTTCAAAGCCCATCTTCCAGGCCCCACCCAAATGCCACCTCCTCCGGGAAGCCTCCCTTGATCACCAGGACTGGAGGTGACTGCTCCCTCCTGAGCACCCCTGCTCTCCAAAGTGATGGGCCCCTGGCTCCCCTGAGCCCTGCACTGTGGGAGGCCTGTGAATGTCTGTTGATGTGCTTCGCCGATCAGTCTTAGAAGTACTTACATTTGGCATGAGAGCCCACAGAATTCATTTCTGTCACTCATTCAGTAACCACCTAAAGTGTCCCTACTATGTGCCCAAGGCTATATCAGGTGCTGGGGAGACACACAAGAGACACAGTGGACTCAGCCTGAGGGCAGGCTTCACGGAAGAGAGGGCGTGAGGACACCGGGCCCAACACTAAAGCTCACACTGGGGTCTGCCAGGGGACAGCTCACGAGAGGCAGGACCACCTTTCCAGACTGAGGGCCTAGCCCATAGGGGCTACGGCAGGACGTCACAGAAGGTCAGGGTGCAGTCCTAGTTGTCCGGAAAGAGGAAACAAAGCCAGAGAGCTCTAAGTGTCCTGAATGACAGCTGACCATTACATGAGGGCAGCATCGGCCCTGCTACTGGGACCCTCGTTCTCATCTGCAGAGGAGCTTCGAACAGCTGGCGTGCAGGGCGGTGACACGTATGAGACCATGAAGGACCACAGAAGGGCTGACAGTCAAGTGTGCGGATTCCCGGGACAATGAAACTTCCCCTCTGGTCCCCGATCATGAGACACTGAGGGTCTAGTAAACTCTGTGCACTGGGAATCATCTCAGTGGAGAGGCTGCCAGCACAAGCAACATCGGCATGGCCGAGACAGGCTGGTATCAGGGGGACCAGGCCGATCACACTTCCTGGATGGAGGTCACATCCCCTGGGGAGGTTTGGGGTTGGGAGGGAGGAAGGAAGAGGCTGGAGGCATCATGGAGATAAAGGCAGCTGCTCAGAGAAACCCGCTGAAAGCAGAAAGGGCAAGTGACCCAGCCTGCTCCTCGACGTCTGCCCTGTGGCCTTCTGGGTTTCTCTCCAGAATGTCCTGCCCAGCTGCCAGCACCTCAGCAGGTCGGCTGCAGCCTCATCTTACGTTTGGGAGCTGCAGGAGGCATTTCAAACCTGACCGGGAGGCTTAGTCGTGGGCTGTGGTTCTCCGACCCCCAGCCTGAACCAACTGCGGCCGTCCTGCTCCTCTGCCAGGCGCTCATATTGCCCAACTCCAGCCAGTGAGATGTGAGGGGAACACCACTGGGGGCTTTGGGGGAGTGTTTTACTTGCTCTTAAAAAAAAAAAAAAAAAAAAACGAGAGAAACGAGGAGGAGGTGGCTGCTGCACCTTTTGCAGTATTTTGTCCTATTGGGAGGCGGTAACCAGAATGCTGCAGCCATCTCGGGGGCCCTGGGGGCCTGCCCAGCACTTAGGGTGGCAGAAGAGAGACAGGAAAAGCACCTGCCCCGATGCCACCACGGGGCTGTTGAGTCGACCCGCCCAGAGCTCCTTCATGTCAGGACTCCTTAAATAAATGTTCATTACTGAAGCTCTTCAAGTTGGGGGCAAGGGCTGGAAATGAACGCTCAGTCAAAGCCAAATCAAACACAAAAACCCCAAGGCTGCCACTGTGTGCCAGGTTTGTACCTCTCGTGTGACATGAGGCCTCTGGACAGGCAGCCAGAGTGAGACTTAAAGCTCTCAGCCACTCGCCACAGGAGGCAGGGAACAACAGGTCGTCCAAGAGACCGGCCGGTCACAACTGCCTCCTGTGGTTTCCTGGGCGGCGGGGTCCCTTACCATTCTTGTGAGCCAAGGCCTGGTCGATAAAGTCCGCGGCCCTTTCAAAGTAGGCGCTAAGGTTGAACTCCTGCGTGTCGTTGGCCTTGATGCCCAGGTAGGTGATGCCGGAGTCCTTATAGAAGTTGGCGTTGGTGTTGACGTGCATGAAGGACCGGCCCTCAGCAGCGTTCAGGACGTGGGTGATGCCCAGTTTCTGCAGCTTGGGGATGTCTTGAGCCACAGACCTGGACAGGGGACAGTGGCAGCAGGTGCTTATCTGACCAACTGGCAGCCCCAGGGGGAGGAAGATGGAGAAGATTCTAAGCCTCTTGGCAGAGTGAGAGGCCCTCCAAGCTACGGCCTGGGCCACAGCCTCTCCTCGTCCGATGGCCCATTTCCCACCCGGGCTATATCTGATTACCAGAAGCTGCCCCAAATAGACGGGGCGAGTTCATGCCTGCGCTATTCCCTCTGCCTAGAGTGACCTTCTCCGTGGCCGTACACCCTCTCATTTTTCACACCCTGTGCAGTATTTGCTGATTTTCTCCATTCCACTTGGCAGCATGCTCCCCGCACCGTGGTGGCGGTGTATAGAATGTGCTCTGGAGCCAGACTGAACCCAGCCCTGCCACTTACCAGCCAGGCAATGCTGAGCAAGTCACTTCACCTTTCTGTGACTCAGTTTCCCTGTCTGTCAAACAAGAACAAAAACAGTGCCTAACCCCTGGGTTTTGTCAGTGTTAAATGAGCTATTCTATAGTCAGAGCCAGGCACTGAGTCGGGGCTACTATTCTAACCCCTGATCATGTTCATTTGTTTTATATCCGGGTTCCGAGCTCAGTAACAGAGGAGCCCCATCTGCCTCCAGTAGGTACGCCCAGCATCTGGTGCGGTGCCTGGCACAGAGTAGGTGCCGAGAATATGTGGTAAGTCAGTAAAGAAGAATGAAATCAGTAAACCCCAGGCAGCCTCCTTCCTTGGACTATAAAGTTCGGCTGTGCCCTCCCATCCCCCAGAGGGAGCCTCCCCGCCACAGTCCACTGGACACGCTGCTGACGCTCTCTTGGATGAGTAAACACTTTGGGAGCACTGGGCCCAGCAGGACCATGGGGGTTACAAAACATCCCATCTGAATAGTCAAAGGGCTCCTTTATTCCATCTCTCAACAACACCCCCAATTCAAATGGCCGTTTCTACGTCAGCCAACGCCTTGACCTACGTGATCTCGTTCCCCTGTCCCAGTGTCAGTCCTGTGAGGAAGGCCAGAGCTCAAACTCTGGCCTGACAGGACGGCAGGAGGTGTGCCTGCACTCACGTGGGCTGCTGAGCCGCAGAGCTGGGTGGGTGGAGGCCTCCTGTCCCCCAACGCCAACCACACTGCTCCATCCACCTCCTACTCTGCCTCTCGCGCACACATCACTGCAAATACCAAGACCCAGAATCGTGGCTCATGCAGGCTCCTCTCCTCACCCCCCAAACCCCCACGAGCCCTGATCGGGAGCCTTGATTTCTTTCAGAGGCTTCTGACGGGTCGGGAACACTAGGTACTCAGGCAGTGGTGCCTGCCAGGCTCTCCACACATACCTGGCTAAGTCAAGGTCAAATTTGCTTAGAGGGCAAGAATGTCTTTTCTACAGTGGCCGTGGGCACTTGCCTCTCTGGCTCCCAGCAGACATTCACAATCTTCGTTTCCACTTGGGAAATGGTGACAACTGAATGTGCCAAACTGCCCAAGGGATCAGGATTTTCAAAGGGCGCCCTTTGCTGCTCAGGTGGCTGGAGAGGAGGCTGTCCTCAGAGGCTGTCCTTTGCAGTTACTAAGCCTTTGGCTGGGACCCTGGGACTCTATTTTATCTCTCCCTACTCAAGACACTGCAGGCACTGGCTCATTTAAGAAAAATATAAATAAAATAACTGAAGAGCCTCCACCATTCGTCTCCCCCTTCCCTGATACCTAATTCAACATGCAATTGATTTATCATTATCATTCTTACTATGAGCAAACACTGTCCACTGCCTGATACGTAGGTACTCAATATAGTGAATAAATGATGGAATGAACGTGACAGTCCCCTATGCGGCTGGGACCTGCCTTTTGGACCCCTTCTGGCTCCTAGATGACCCCCATTTCTGTGGCAGTCTTTGGCAGAGTAAGTACCGGGACCTAGTCCAGGACCAGGGGACACAGACAGGGCAAGGCATTGACCTGTCCTCCCCACCCTCAACCACTTGGTTGGTTGCCACTGTCTCTTCCTGTGTAAAACAAGGAGAGTGGTTCGGCTTTCTAACATGCAGTCCCTGGGCCCCGGTCTGAGGGCACTGTAACGGGGTCCTCCTGGCCTTTATCCAAGTCCAAACCGAGCCCCCCTAAGGCTGTGTAGGGTTGGCAACCTATTCTGTACATTTGGCTGCTATTTCAGCACCTCTCAGAATGGTTAACACTGGTTCTCCGGCTGCTGAGAATTTCTTCCTATAGCAATTTGACTGACAGGAAATGGGAAAACCAGTGGTTAAGAACTCGTAAGTGATAAATAATGCATTTCCTGGTCCGGAGAAGGTGGCAGCCTCTTCTAGGTGATGGCTCAAGTCCTTATGGGGTTCATAGTGGGATCGTTCTAGAATCCATGTAAATCGGACCCCAGCTGGAAGACAGGCGTAGGACCGAGGAAACCGTGTCCCAGCTCTCTGGATGCCCCCCTCATTTGGGGCATTTCTGTTCCCAGATCTGAACTTGCCCAGCCGGGAAAAGTTCCACGCCCGGATTGTGACGTCAGCCAGTTGCTATGGCAGCGGAGGCAGACATTCCGCGGTGACCTCACTGCAGAACCAGGCAGCTGTCACATGACGCGCGGGCCGGGGACGGCAGGACGACAGGGCCACCACCTGTTTAGTGAACAGGGTAGCCCTGACCCCGCCCAAGGCCGAGCCCCTAGCTGGCGGCGGCTTCGGAGTGGACGTGGGGCTGGCCGAGCGGCCTCCGAGGTTCAGTGCACCCCCGGAAGGGAAGGACCACGCGGGGACCGGGCGAGGACCAGCCCCTCCGCTCCCCGCGCGGGGGTGGGCGGTGACTCCAGCCCCGGCCCAGCCCCCGCCCAGCCCCGGCCCGGCCAGGGAGGGGCGAACACGCCCCCCGGCTCCCCGCAACCAGCAAATGCCGACGCCCCCTCCCCAGCTCCGGAGTGAGCGGTACGCCCCCGGGAGGGCCCAGCGGAGCCGGGGCTCCGGGGCGGCGACTCACGCGTTGCCCACGTAGATCCTGGGGGTGACCTCGTTGCAGGGCTGGCTCGGGAGGCTGTAGCAGCCGCTGCCGTCCGAGAGCAGGTCGTTGAGATCCTGCACCGAGAGCTCGTAGGGGCCAGACATGGCGGCGGCCGGGCCCTGCACGCCGGGGCGGCGGACAGAGAGGGGAGAGCGGTCCGGTCAGCTGGGCGGGGGCTCCGGAGCCCGGCCCCGCCCCTCCCCGCCGCGCCCCGCCCCGGGGGCGGATCCACGGTGAGCTCGGGGCGGCGGAGCTCCGAGGGCCACGCGCGCTTTGCTCCCAGGAGGTACGCGCGCCGTCCGGCGCCTAGCGGAGCGAACGAGCGTTGAGAAAACCTCCGGGCCTGTTCCCAGGGATGGAAACGCCACCAAGGCTTGCAGTTGGGGGTGGGGATCCTATCCCACCCCTAGAGAGGGCATTTCCTGTATCATTATCTACTGGGAAGTGTAACTTCATCGCATCAAATGCTGGGCACAATAAATGTTCCTATCGACTGGGGTGCATCGAATGTTTTGTTTTGTTTTTTCAGATTACGGAGACACCGGCTTCTGCTTATGAGTTCTGCCTCTCCCTGCTGCAGCCCAGCAGCACTGGCAAGAACCCCCGAGCGTGTCAAAAAGAATCTCTGCCCCAGCGCAGGCCCTCTAAATGACGATGGACATTTTACAGCCCCTGGGCATTTTCAAGTTTGAGAAGCCCAACTCGGGGGCACATCTATTTCCACATTCATTGAGAGTCAGCCTGATGCTTAAAGGCTTGGGCTCTGGGCAATCAGGCTGGACATTCTGACCCTGGGGAATTCTCTGGGCCTGTTTGCTGAAAAAGAAAAAAAGGGAGTGGTGTGGGATAATAATACTAGTTCCTGACTTCTCAGGCTGTTCGGGAAGACTAAATGTGCCAATTAAGGAAAGAGCCCAGCATTAACAGGGAGCAATGAATAGGTGGTATTCTCCTTGTCCATCGGCAAACTTGTGGGGCACCTAGGCGCTGTGTCCAGTGCCACTGTGGAGATGGGTGTCTCCTTCCCAGACCCGGAGCAGCTGCCGGCCCCCTATAAGCCACAGCGTGTCTGCAACAGTTCATTTACTGAGATCTTAGGGACAAAAGGCACAGTCTCTGTCCTTCCCCACTGTCGCAAAAAGGGCAGACTCACCCACCCCTCCAAAAAGCCGATGTCATCCTGGGAATTCAGGAAACCCACACTCTGAGCCCGGCTCTGCCACTAACTCCTGCCCTGAGCGGCTTGGCTGCTGCTCTGGACTTCCGGTTTCCTCACTCGGGAAGTGAAGACATTGGGTCAGGTTATCACTCAGGTCATTGTTCACCTCCCTCAAAAGCTTAGGGTCTCACACTTTCAGGGGAATCACTGCAGTGGAGACTACTTAGCTCATAGCCCAAGGAATGACTTTCTTCACCACCCAGCACCACCCCCCTGCCCCCCCCCCCACCTTTTCCGGCTGCTGCTGGGGGCCTCTGCATTCCAGGTAGGTCAGAATGCTTCCGAGTTCCTCGCCCTTCATCTTGACTTGGGTCTAGGTTAGCTTTCAAAAGAGAAGCCCAAGAACAAGCAGGCCTGCTCTGCTACTGCTCCTCCTCCCCTGAGCCCTATCCCTGATGTCACAACTGGGTAATTATGACAGCCCATCATGGGAATTGCCAAGTACCTCACAGAGAGCCTAGTTGCCTCATTTCTGAAGTGAGACTAGGAAAAGAAGATGAACAGTTCCCTGGATTATCTAGCCTATCCTGTCATCGTCTCTAATCACAGGCAGACCACAACCTTCAGGAAGAAACTGGACCTTGGCAACTATATATCTCACAAGAATAGGATAGAAATAGGTGGGTTGGACACTGCCTTGGGGCATTCAGGGGAGGTCCCCCTTAGAGATGTTGACAGTGAACTAGCCCAGCACGTAACTCTTCCATAACGCCTTATCTGCTGAGCTGGGTCAAGAGGAGCGTCAGTGACAAAACTTATCTTCCACCAGTGAGTTCATTTGGTGGAAATGCTCGTGAAAGTCTTTCAAGCAAGAATAAGCTAGAAAGGGGACAGGACTTCTGCACGCAGTAGACCAGCGAGTCCTAGTGGTGAAAGATGAGAGAGAAGCTCTTTCACAGGCTCCGGCGGACAGGCTCTGTGAATTTTACTTTTTCTACCCCTCACCATTCTTTTATTTCTGGCTCATAATTCTTCAGAGACATCAATCTGGGAAATTAAATTCCTGAACTGAGGTCAGAACACAAAATCCTAGTGTGTATTAAGCAGGGTTATTGTCTAGAGCGTGAGGTTTTCTGAGGCTGCTAAGAGGACTCCGATGATACAAAACTGCTCTCTTACCCTTCTCTAGTGAAACCCACCGTCGACACCAAACCTCCGGCTGCGCACGCGCATCACATTTTACAGCTGAGAAAACTACAGGTACTTTTTGCTGTCTGCAGATGTCCCCTGCTGACTTTTATCTGTGTCCTACATAGTCACCTCACCGAAAGGGTCCTTCATTCTCTTCTTCCCCATACACATCACCCCCAGTTTCTTCAGCTCTGCCCCCAGTCTCCACCGTGCCCCCCCAGTCTGCCCTTTCCCACAGTCCCGGGAGACAGGGGTGTTACACCAGGTGTGCTGGAGCACAGTGTAGCCCCGATGTCACCACGGAGCGGGGGGGCGGGGGGGGCTTTCTCACCAGGATGAACAGAAGAGAATCGACAAAATCGAATATGAAAACAAGCAACTGTGTCAGAAAATCGCCAATGCCCATCGCGGCCCTGCCCAGGTGGATTGCTGGAATGAATATTTTTCTAAGAGGTAGTATTTTTTCCCCCCTCATGTCATTTTTGGAAAGTCAAACTATGACTTTCCCCTTGTTGAGTTTTAGTGCACGGTTCTCCCGGGTGGGAGGAATACTGAAGGGCAGCTCTCTTGAGGGATAACCAGAGAGACCACATTAAGGGGAATAAAAACTACCAAAAATGGGGAACTTTCCTAGTGTTGAAGAGCTTTTATATCATCTAAGAGACTGATTTCACAGTGCTGTTCAGACTTTATCACAGGCAAGCACTGTACGCGTTTGTAAAAGGTGGACGTAGCTGAGATGAGAAAAAGCATTCTTAAGCATCAGTTCTGCAAAGACTTCCTGAGCTACCATGCGCTCAGCCCCGAGAATACAGGGATCAAATGAGATATATATTTCCTAACCTCAAAGAACCCAGGTCTCACAGGAGAGGCATTCAAGTAAAAATACAGTGTGGCCAGGGCTACAGAAGTGTGTGCAAGGAGAGAAGTGTGTGTAGCAGGGAAATCAGGTTGCCCGAGAGCTGAGGAAAGTGAGCTGAAGCAAAACTCATCCCCAGCCATCTGAGATTTATCTAAAGGTAAGACCTTCCCTCATCACAGAAATCAGATGTTCTCAATTCTTGCTTCACATAATTCCTTAAAGGGCTTTTTACAAAATGCCACTTTTTACAAGCCGCGCCCCAGACCAGTGAAGCAGAAGCTTCCAGTAAACAGTGGGACTGAGAACCACTGATCCAAACCTTCCAGTGAATGCTGCACACATTTCCCAGAGAGCAGCCTGGTTTGGGAGGCAATGCTGGGCCTCGGGGCTCATCGGGATAACGTGCAGCAGCCTGAGTTTACGACATCACGACATCATGACTTCATCACCCCCCCCATTCCCAACCAGGAGGAGGATTTTATTTTTTAGCCATCTCAGGGTTTTATGGCTTTTTTTTTTCCAGCTTAAACAGAGAAACAAGGAACCGGGACCTAGTGAGAATCACCATGGAAAACCAGGGCATTCTGAAGAGGCTTGGTGATCGCAAACCGAACTATGACCACATGTTGTCCGAGATAGACTGGCAGGCACGTGGGGACCCTGGGATAGTCCTCTGCGTGCATAGAGTTTGTCTGTGTTCAAAGGAGGGTCAGTCTCAGGGGGGACCCATAAGTGGCTGAGGGCCAGATCATGAGAAATACAATAACCAGTAAGAAAAAAACCACCCAAAGCAAACCATCCAGGAGCTAAGGACATCTCCTTGGTAGCAAAGCCATTATGCATCAGGAGCAGAAAAATATCCGGTAACATCTTCCCTCATCCCTCAATCATTCAGAACAAATGAATGTCCAAGCAAAGAGTGTGGAGGGTGTACGATCAAGAATGTGGTTAATATGCCTTATTCAGGAATGATCCTTTGAGAAGGGGAAAAAAGGCACTTGTAATATTTTAAAACCTCCATACCATGGCTTTGACTGGTAAGACTTTCCTAGCCACGCTTAGAATTTAGAACTTCAACTTTGCCCCAGCACCCTGGCTTTGACATACACCTTCCTGATTTTTTTTTCCTTCAAGAAATCAAGACGTTACATCCGAAATACAACAAGGTATCTTCTCTCCCGAGATGAATAGGTATGTCTTACCCGGGCTACTCTATACTATAGGAAGTGGTGGCCACACTTGATACCAACCCTGAGAACTGTGGATTCCCCTTGCTGAGTTTTAGTGCACGGTTCTCCCGGGTGGGAGGAATACTGAAGGGCAGCTCTCTTGAGGGATAACCAGAGAGACCACATTAAGGGGAATAAAAACTACCAAAAATGGGGAACTTTCCTAGTGTTGAAGAGACTGATTTCACAGTGCTGTTCAGACTTTATCACAGGAAAACCCTGCACGCGTTTGTAAAAGGCGGACGTAGCTGAGATGAGAAGGGCCCATTGGGAGAGGAATTCACTCTTCTACAAAATCAATGGGTCGTCCATTCAGGGGACTTAGAGGTCTGCCTCTGTTTTCTCTCCAATTAAGGAGGAAATGACTGTCTTTTGTCACCGGCTTTGAGGCTTTCCATGAGTCTAAGGGGAAGTGATTTGTTCTAAGAAAAATTTAAACAGGTGCTCTCGTGGCTTTAATATTGCGCCAAAGTTACATCCCAGGTCTCTGTCACTACTCAGAAGTACTGTTGCGTTGGCATGTTGCATTATTAAATGTTATTAGTGATAAGTGAGTTTGGTTCCCAGCCTCTGGGGAGAAGGATAAATGGATACTCAAGTCTTTCCAAAGGATAATTCAGTATAATTGATGGTCCTCCATTTCTCTCCCTCTCTTCTTGCTGAATCCAAGGTTACTCACCACGGAAAAGATTCAAGAGGAGGCCCTAGGATTTCGTAGCTGCTTAGAATCTCAAAACACTCCT